AGGACATCTGCTGCTCAGTCATTCAATAATCGTAACATAAAATCGGTTTATCGACACAGCCATAAACGCCAAATCTCTTTCAGATCGTGATCTTTGCAAGAATCGAGGAGTCTAACTGTATATCAATAATGAACAGATTGTCATCTGAACCTTCAGTTACAACCTGGCACACTCTTTCAAATCATTTAAAGAATTCCACGTTTCCAGGACCTTAAGACAGAAAAGGTCCAGAATCAATTCTGGTAATAAAATGTCAATAACTGTTTTCTTACAAAAAAGAGAAATGTGATCGACACATGAAGAGGAACACCTGATTTGTGTTTGTTTTTAGTGATGTTGTGTTTCATTTAGAGTACACTGAATTTTACACCTTAATCTGACCTCATTTATGGCGTGTATCATACAGTTTATAGTCAGTTATTTGTTGGGCATATCTGTCTACCAATAGTGATATCTTGTTCACCAAAAGCTAATGCTCCAATCAACTGTTTCCTGGCAGGATCTACACAGCAGCACTTGATGTATATACATGTATGGCACACTCTGCTTAGTGATTATATTTTTAGCAGATAACCCAGTTGGGATTGCTCTTCTGCCTTCAAGGTTAAATGCTGTACAAAGAATTATTCTTGGTGAGGCCAGACCAATTTTATTTCTTGTTTTACAGATCAGCCGGTCATATTTTTTCAAGAATAAGAAAACAAATTAATTAATTTCCCCCTCAAAAAAATAAAATCCTCACGTTTTTATTGGCCAAAAATGTAAACTTACAGAGAAAAAATGTTTGATTGTTTTTTTTGCCCCATATAAACTTCATAAATTGCCAGAAATAAATACTTCTAGTGTTTAAAAGGAAAATTATTTTGACTAGTGATTTTTATTTTTTAATTTTTTCCCTCCTGCCTTTAGGTTTTCTGAGGACAAAAATCCGTAAAACAAGAAATAAAATTGGTCTGGCCTGAGGTTATTATACAAAACAACCACAAAATAAAATCTTCCTAAAAGGGTCCTTATCTTTACATTATGAGCTCACCAAAAGCTATTTTGACATACAGAATATTTCATGCATTAAGTGTTCATTGCACCAAATAAATTGCCAACAAATTCATATAGATTATGTGGCCAAGTGAAAAGGTATTCCAGATCATATTATCTGACCAAACTTTATCAGATCTGCATTCTAATGTTAGGTCAGCACTGAAATTTAAGGTGCCTTTTTTTTCATATGATATGGATTGATATGGATGTTAAGCTTATTAATAGAGTAATAAAAAAGGCTAATACATGATGTGTAAGCACCTGTATTCATGAACAGAACACTGCAATGTGATCTTCAGCATGTAGAACAATGTTCAAGAATAAGTTTGGCTGCACATAAATCGTGCTGACAATATACTGTAGGATTTACCTTAAGTAAAGCAATCATACACTGGATGGACTTATTATTGTAAAGCCACAGGGGCAGGCTTTATGTGCATAATCCCAACAATCAGCCTACTTTACACCATCTGGTTTATGATCCAGATTGTAAATACACAAGGGAACTAATAAATTATCTTTTATGCTTGTGCATGGCCAACAGAAGTCAGAAATGTAAGACATTCAATCGTCTATTCCTGTCATGTGTTGTGAAAAGGTCTTTCAGGTATATGAAGGGAGTTGGTCCAATCATTTAGTGAAACTTGGCTTTTTTATATATATATATATATATATATATATGGAGAGAGAGAGAAAAAGAGAGAGAGAGGGAGGGGGAGGGGAGAGAGAGAGTACCTGATATTTTATAGGTCATCATCGTAGTGTAAAACAGATTTTAATCTGGGTAAATTTGGGATATATTTTTTAAATTAAAAAAAACCAACAGAGATCCTGATATAACTAAGGGACCTAACTCTGCACATCAAATTGCTATACCTTACACTCACTAACTGGTCCCCTGAGACCTGTCAAATTATTCAAGTTTTCCAGTACCAAGTTTCTCAAGTTACTGATAGAACGTCTGTTACATTGCCAGACACTGGCCGCTTCAACAGAAGTGGGGCCAGACAATTCAAATCAATATAGGCACATTTATACCGGCTGTAAATCATGGGCGAGTAGTGCCTACAACTGACATACACAGGCCTGCATCATACTCTGATGGGTGAATAATTATATGCAGGGACTTAGAAATAGGCTGGATGCATTGAATAACTGTCAGTTCCTGTTGAAACAACTACATCGAGTTTTCACAAAACAGACCCTGGAAACAAGACTATTGGGTGGTCGCTTGACAAGTATTACCCCTAATGAATGACTATCACCAGCCTTTGTTCTGTTGTCAGTTGAAGGCGGGGTTCTTGATGAGAATATTTAGTCTGATAATGGCAAGATATTGCCGTGATTGATGGCTTGACATAAAACCATCACACCTTGACACTAACTGACGTCAGATCTTTAGGTTGCCCTATCACCTCTGTGAGTCAGTGAGTTTCGTTTTACGCTGCTTTAACAATACAGTCAAATCCTGATGAGTCAAATCTCTGGGGACCAAGTAATAAATTCGACTTATCGATGTATTCGAGACATAGGTATGTCTATGAGGGTAGAACAAAAGATTATCCAGTCCTAATTCCTCCGCCTAAGCATTTGTTTATCTAATGATTTCCCTATCACTAATAGGGGCACCTTATCAGTTCCAGTCTAATTAGCACAGACAGTGATTTCCGTAAAATCACTAATCTGCCTTTTGAACTCACCCGTCAAAGGCCGAAAGGTGTGAGCCGCTGGTTTGTTAATTGGATCAGTTTGCTACACCAATCAACTTCTCATTGATTGACTTCGGTTTATGTATACAAGATTGCTGTTGTTTGAATCTCATGGGACCAAATTTTCTTCTCTAGTCATAGTGTGTATTTATGAGACGAATTCGTGTAACCGGTATTCAAATGATGACAACTATAACAGGGAATGGTCGGGACCGACAGGTACTTGGAGTTATGCATAATGTTCGAGACCTGCATTCGTTTCATCGGGATTTGACTGTATTGTGAAATCAGGTCTTCAGAATGACAAGTAGCCTTGCTCCAATGCTGTACTGAAAGCTGAGCCCATGGATGTACAGTAATTCAATCCTTCAGAGAGGCAAGTCTAGATAAGCGGACAGTACATCTAAGGATGCCAGTGTTAGAGAATATTTATATTTCTTAGAAATTATCATTTTAAACTATTGATTATTACCTTAGAGACTTGTGCAAGTCTACATGACAAGCTCATGTGTAAGTTCCAGGCAACTGCACCACCCCTAGACCCCATCTAACTAAGTACATTACATCCAAAGTATACCATACTCTTGTTTAGATGTTCGAAATGCGTCGTTACATGCGTCGTCATGTTTGTATTTCTTATCGACATAAGTTACAAAGGTTCATTAGGAATGAGTGAGTGAATGTTGTTTGAAGAATATTCAAGTAATTTCAAACAGGACTTTTTTCGCAATATCAAGGCAGGGGACACCGGAAATAAACTTTACACTATAACCCTGTTAGGCATCGAACATGGGTCTTTAGTAGGCCTGTAAATAACAGGGACTAGCCAAACCAGTGACTGAAAGCAACAACAAACATGATCTGGGGAAAATGACACACCATCAGCCAAATTACAGAGCCTCACACCAAGTCTGTGCTAGAACACCATCATAGCTCATTAGGATTGTAGACAAGTATGTGAAAATGCATGACAAAGAGTACCTTCATTATGACAACAATCTCACAATGCGTTTCAGAATGCCATGATTAAACCATTACCATGTATATTATAACCAGGTATTAATGAATCCAAACCCACTTCCACCAGCTGCTGGTCACATGTAACAAGAGCAGACGTCAATTTACACATGGATGAACGGTATGTTGCAGTCACTACTAAATCACACCTACAAGCCAGTAACGAAGTTTTGATGTGCATTCACCATCTTGACAATGTGGGGCACAGTTTCTGAAAGTGCAAGCAGTGTAGAAGGTTTGCCAACATAAAGACAAGTTATTCTGGGATGAAGACTTTCCAAGAGAAAGAGAAGAAAGACTGAACTGGTTATTCCAACTGATATATATTCACAGTATTAGAAACCAGTGAGTTCTGACAGGCAAATAGCAATAAAAGCCTTCATTAAGTATGCATTAGGTTCATGTGTGACTTTCTACCCATGAATACAACACATCCCTGGAGGATCTTTTATCCATTCTTTAACCATGTTAACAGTTCCTGCATATTGGGATAAGTAACTGCAGAAGCAATACGACACTGAAACATCAGCATCACATACTAACACATGCATGCATGCACTCACGGTGCATGCATGGACAAAAACATATGCATGCACACACACTTGCATTTGCTCTTGCTTTAAGAATTACTTGCACCAATATCAAACTTAAAAGGTAATGAAATATTTATTCCTAATTATTACTTTAGCAACTTTTGGGGGTAAAACTGTCCTTTTCACTTGGATTTCAAGCCATTTCAATTTACCTCTAGACATGTCTGACAACATCCCTACCTACCAACATGCATCATGCAATTTGCTACATGTATCAGCATATTGAACATGAAGGAAAAAAGAAAATTAGCCTGTTCAAATATTCATCCATAAACCTTCAACTCAGACAAAAGAGTTACATAATATTCAGTTTCTCTTCCAAGTTACTGTTCACCTCCATGCTGGCTGACATGTTACAACATGATTACAATAGAGCAGACTTTGCTCTGGATAAAAGCCACAGACAGAGAATCATTATTAGTTCGACAAATTGCCAGATATTATGCAATACCAGCATAATTCAATATTTGTGAACTGTCCGATTTGGTCCTCAATCCTATCCTTATATAACTTATTTCCACACCTGAACTGACATACAGTCTGTGAAGCAGATATTACTTCAGGAGGTTATAGTATTGCATGCACAGAAAATAAACAATTCATTGATATAGTTCAGTCTTATTATTCCGGAAACAATGTTTACCTTTCTTGTCCAATTGTGCTGACTGCCTATATGGTGCTAATATCTCCTCCACATCCGCGCTAGAATTCTCTTTCGACATTTTCCTCTGAACGGTCTCCAAACAATGTTGTTAGCTGACCAGAGGCTACTGTAAACCCTTCACAGGAATTAGGTCCACACTAACCTTGGACGACCACTAGCATCGATCCGCACACCAAAATCCTCAAGGCTTAACTCCTTAGCATACAATAAAATCCCAGTTGTCACTAACAGTCACTACTGCAAACAGATCCTTATACAGCTCTCAGGAAATCCTGTATCAAGAATAATAAAACCACACAATAAACAGAATCCAGTCAGTTTGTAGACTTATGCATCATCAGTCACGGCTATTGTCAGTACGTTTTTTCACAGTTTACAGTTCAGCATGCTCACTTGGCCAGAATAATTACTTGGTATTTTTGACAGCCTTCATACAACTTGGATTGGGAACTCAAGAAGTGCTGACTTGAACAATAGCAGCTACCCTTTGGGAATCAAGTCGAAACTAACGTCATGAATCAGATCAAGATTGCTATACACTTGTGTGTTGTTGACCAGTATTATCCGTCTTTCCTGCTCACAGCCTGACTAATCAGGTATGACGCTGTTCACTAGATCAAATTCCTGTATCGTATAATGTCAGGACAGATTACTACCTGGATAGTTCGTAAACATATAAGGAGGTAAGATATACGAGATATCACACATGTCGTGTTAAAGAAGCCTACATGTTGTGACACTGGATGTTGACGGAGAGAAGAATTACACCGGTGATCAATCAGTAGGATTTATATCATCTGGTCCAGAACAAAATACTTTTATACTTATAGATGATTGATGATGTACTAGTACAGGGAATATACAGCAGTTTAGCACTGAAAGTATTAACTCAATACCACCAAAACACTATCCTCGAGCCATGAATCAGTCGACAACATTGGCTCATAAGACAAATTAAATTAAAGGCCAATTCACATTTAAGTAAATTAAAGGCCAAATCACATTTCTTAAATGCAAGCTTATATACTGGTAGCTGCAATTGTACAATGGACTCTGTATATTTTTGAGCATTGAGGAAAAGGTTTTGTTGTTTATATCATGTCTATTTACACTGCAGATTGTGGCAAAAATCACAAGTTATTATTGTTACTGAAGCATTATAAGTACCGGTATATTCTATAACTTTCTCCTGAAACCACTCACACCATGATAACAATTTGCCACAGAGGGGATTAAGATCATAGTTTTCCGAATTGTTTCATTATGCAGATTCATTAGACAGAGCTATCTGCATTTCCCCGCCAGTCAATGTCGCTCATCAGTAGACATTTGTCTGCAGGACTACTCTGTACATAAGTAACACGAAAAATGATCTCCACACTCATCAAATGTGCATTCACAGCCACTAGAATGATAAGAAGCAAATCAACACTAACAAGCCCTGAATGGAAGATTACTTGCTTGTTTTAGGATTGATGTTACCATGGTTACAGTATATTGTAACAGTACTTCTGAAGAAGCTGAAAGCATCACATTTCCATGTTTATATTTCCTTATTGTAAAAACTTTGCATCAATTCCTTTCAATATAAATTGAGGGTAAGAAAAACTTCTGTAAAACGGATGAATACATATTACTTTGATGCAGAATACAAAAGGACTTTGAGAAAATTATAAATGCTTATACTCTGCCTTGTCTTGGAAATAACTTTTTCTAATAATAACTAGTTCCTTGAATCTGTTTTCCAGTATAAGGTGAGATACATTTCCTCAAATACAAAATAATCTGAATCTGATGTTCCAGTTTAAGACTTACACTTCCTCCTTTCAACATACAAACCACTACACAGGAAATCACAACTCCATCCTCAAAGTTGAAACACACAACAATCCGTACACAACGGTAGTGGTATATCAGCAGATACTCGACACGAACCTAGCGCCACTCAAGCAAGAAACACAACAGACTTGTAGCAAAGGAGATGCTCATTTGTATCAACTTCCTTCATCAGTGTATGTCATAACTGATCAAAACTATGACAAAAACTCCATACAGTGTTACCAACTTGCGGCTGATCCATTAACCTGCACCGTGGTATAACAAGGAACCATCTGGACAATTCATTAATTACCGTATTCAACAACTACAGGGCCGTTATTCCACTGTACACAGCTATAGACAGTTCCTCACTGCATCGACTCACGGTAGCTGAGTGTTTCGACTCATCACTTGTCTTACCTCTGGCACAGGTTGAATTCACCACATGTTTATTTTCAGTGGATATAAAAGCACCCAAACAGTGTTATGCCACGATGGTAAATATGGTATCTCTCCTAGTCACAGCCTGCCACTGTTTAGGTATTTTCTGAGAAAATATAACTTTGACAGAAAAAATGAACTATACAAAAATTGAAAAGGATCCTCAGTAAGGTTTTTTCAGAACCTGTAGAAAAACTAGACTTGCTTCATTAAGGAATATAGCATTACAGGAAGAGCAGACCAGATTAAGAACATGGTTCAAGGATTGTAACAGACTACTATTCAAACCACACCTTATGATCCCTCCCCATTACCTTTAAATAATGTTAAGTTTATGAAACTAATCCCTAACTTCTTGTTACTCTCAGTGTCTCTATGGGAGAGCCTTTCACACTCTCCCACATCTAATAACAGCCTGGGTACCGATGTACAAAACAACCTTAGCGCCAGGACTATCTAGTGTATAATTATGTTTAGGTATGGGAGTAACAGTAACTAAGCGATAAGATCGCTTTGTACAACGAAACCCAGGGTGCTGTTGTACAAAACAACCTTAGCATTAAGACTATCTTAAGGTTTAGTTAAGGTATGGGAGTAATGGCCACCTTAGAGCTAAGATGACCTTGTACAACGGTTCCCAGGTCTGGAAATTAACTTAATGGTTATAAGGGCCAACACACTGTTCAATATGGTAATCATAGTACAAAGATAAAATTATGATTACTAAGAGGAATTATGTTCTGTGCTGTTTCAACAAGCAGCCATTGTGCCCTGAGCACCCGAAATCAGACTGCCATAACTCATATACTATTCATATCATACACCTTAATATAATACAAAGTCATGATGCTACTATCATTGTGAGAAATAAGTCCCTGGGCGATTAACAGAGGAACTACATAACATGGTAAATGTGTGGTACAGTTCAACCCATGGTGAAGTTATCAGTGGATCTAGTGCAGCTGTTTCAGCTGCTATGTGAACTATGTCACTCCACGTGCATCCTCAGATTCTGTGCATACCTTCACCATCTCCATTTACATCACAATGTTTAATCCATCAGCAACATAATGCAGATTGAACCCTACTTGTGAATCAGGTTACATACTAATGCATTTTAGTTTCGCTGATTTGGCATAATCGATCACACACAATGAATAAATTAGCAAATCTTTAACATATTAGACCTGGGTACTGTGACTAACACATTGTGTAAGTACCAGGACTGGTGGGATAACAGGAGTACTTAATCTCTGTCATAAATGTGTGTACACCTAAAGCCAAAGTCAACAATGTATTTAACAACTACTGTGATCATCTACTTGTGTATGGGGTGGTAGGGTAGCCTAGTGGTTAAAGCGTTAGCTCATCACTCCGACGACCCGGGTTCGATTCAACACATGGGTGCAATGTGTGAAGCCTATTTTTGGTGTCAGTCCACCCCTCACGTGATATTGCCTGAATACTGCTCATAGGCGGATCCAGAGGACGGGTGCAGGGGTGCGCACACACACACACACACACACACACACACCCCTTTTGTGCTGAAAGTTTGTTAAATGACCATTGAAACTCGGGTGAAAATGAAGTGTGCACCCTCCTTTTGTCAATAGTGTGCATCCGCCTTTCTCAAAAAGCTGTATCCGCCCCTGCTGCTAAAAGCGATGTAAAACTAAACTCACTCACTCACTCTAGTTGTGCATAATGTTTCTTGACCCACCACATCTGGGTTGAAACCTCACCGAAGTTCAACATGTTTGTGAGAGTGTTTCATGTTACAGTTGGCAAGTCTGGTAAACCAGTGGTTGATGATATGAGCATAAACGACATTGCCTAAGCATTTCAGAAGTAATCATACTCATTTATCGATAGTCGACTTAGTTTTTTAAATGAAAATGTATTATAGCAAATTGTTGCCAAATTTAGATACCAAAGGGCCCCCAAGATTTTCTTCAAAACTGCAGCAATCTAGACTTGCCAGTTATTAATTATCAGTATTAAGGTCTGTTTGACAGACTATTATTCACCAGTCACCTGTCAAAATAAACTATGTTTACAAACTACACTCACTTATCCAATAGTTATATTAAAAGGTAAATAATCTTGTATAGTGATGTTTAATGGCAAATTTGACGTCTTTACTGACAAAGTCGTCTTCTGTTGTTTGTTCTCGCGAAGTGATATGATGTTGTTTTCTTACCCCTGGTAAAAAGTCTCACGAAAGCGTAAGCCTTAGATAAGCCGACCCCCTTCTACAGACTGCTTTTTTTTTGTCCTCAAAATTCGGCTTATAGACGGTCATATACGGTACTCTTCACAATGTTAAGATCTCCATTTTGATCATTCTCAGATTATGAAATGTAAGTGGATCGCTGTTTCTGTAAAATCACATGGGCTTTTATTAGAACAGCTACAGCTTGGCTATCAGCAGACTGTCTAACATCTAATCTGAACACAAATAGTGATAGTGTCAGCCATGTTGTAGATGCTGTGGATGTTGACACCTTCGTGACAGCTGATAACAGCTCATCACATTATGATGACATTCATCACAATAGGAACACTATCATCTATTGATCAGTAGCAGTGTTTGAAACACCTGGACTGACTGACTGACTGAGTTTGGTTTTACGCCGCTTTTAGCAATATTCCAGCAACATCACGGCGGGGGACACCAGAAATGGGCTTCACACATTGTACCCATGTGGGGATTCGAACCCGGGTCTTCTGCGTGACGAGCCAACGCTTTAACCATTAGGCTACCCCACCGCCCCTTGAAACACCTGGAAGGGTGAGTAAGTGAGTGAGTGAGCGAATGAGTGAGTAGGTGAGTGAATGAGTAAATGAGTGAGTAGGTGAGTGTATGAGTGAGTCTGAGGGTGAGTGAGTAGATAAGTGAATGAGTGAGCAAATGAGTGAGTAGGTGAGTGAATGACTGAGTCTGAGGGTGAGTGACTGAATAGATAAGTGAATGAGTGAGCAAATGAGTGAGTAAGTGAGTGAATGAGCTAGTCTGAAGGTGAGTGAGTGAGCAAGTAGGTGAGTGAGTAGGTGAGTGAATGAGTGAGTCTGAGGGTGAGTGACTGAATAGATAAGTGAATGAGTGAGCAAATGAGTGAGTAAGTGAGTGAATGAGCTAGTCTGAAGGTGAGTGAGTGAGCAAGTAGGTGAGTGAGTAGGTGAGTGAATGAGTGAGTGAGCAAATGAGTGAATGAGTGAGTCTGAGGGTGAGTGAGTGAGCA